CTTCCACTCCTGTAGCTTTATGAACAGGGGGGGACCTCCCCCCCCATACCTCCCCCGCCAGGCCTGCTTTGCGGTGGGGGGTTTCGGGGAATTGAAGGCCCACCCGTCTTAAGGTTGCCAAGGTTGAGGAACCCTGATTTAGAGCAGCAAGATGGGGTCTACAGACCCACCTGACCCCTCAAGCTGTCTGAAGGCCATCTAAACCTAGTTCTAATTCTGCCTGGTTTTCACGTGCTCCACGACGACTTCAATTTCGCCTCTCCCTTATTCGCAGATGCTCATCGTTGCTGTATCTGTGCAGAGTGAGAAGCCATTCCAAATCGCTAAAAGTCCTTCCGTCCCACATCACCCATCCAGCTCGAGAAAATGGTAGAAAGACTCTCATTAAGAATAATCAAAAGTCAGGTTCCTATTACAACGCGGGAGCCGGCTTTGAGGAATTAGCCAGATGTCTGTCAACAGTAAGGGAAAAATAAGGCCAGTTGAAACGGCGCTCCATTGTGTAATGGAAGAAGGAAGGGAATGCCAATTTTAAAGGTGGGGTCCCCAAAGCAAAATTATCATTTAATAATATATATGTTGATTGAATGGCATCATGTCATGATTTGATCCCAGGCTTTAATTTCGGGTAAATAAATGGCACCAAAAAAATCTTCATTAAGACCATGTTACAGTCTCTTCGTTGCTGATGAATTGCACTGCACAGCTGAAGTTTAGGAAGACTTAACACCGAAGCTGGGTTTGGTTATTTTATCCCAAACGGGTGCTTTAAATAAAAAAAGGAAAATGGGACTTTTCCTTTCCTATTTTTCATTTTGTTGTGGAAGAGAAGGCTTGCCCAACCTTTCTGGCGCATCCAAAGACAGAAGAATTAAAGACAGAAAGGAATTTAAACACACATACACACACCCTAAAATGAGGAATTTTCCCCAGGAAGTCCTATTCAAGTCCTCTTTTTTTTTTTTTTTTTGGTGTTAGGGATGCGTTTGATGCTTTGATGTCCCTTTTTTGGCCAGAACAGGAATAATACAAGTTCTCCGTGCAAGAAAGCAACAGCCAATATTTAATAAAACGATAGAATTAGAAGCTGCCTTTGAGCCATCAAGAGCAACTTCCTTGGTTGGGGCAGGAATTCAAATTAAAAAATCTCAACATGTGTTCAGTCTCTGCTTGAACACATCTAGTGAAGGGAAATCACCAACTTTTGGGTTGATGAATTCCTCTGTTGAATTGCTCGATTAGGGACAGGGATGTCCATGGAGGTGGGGGTCCAAAAGCTTAAGATGATGCCTGCAAACATGTCGCACATTAAAAGGGGGCAGGATGCAACTCTATGGTTGTGGACACCATCTTGACTTTTTTGACCCTTTCTTTGGATGCCCCTAGTAGGAAGGGTTTTTCGGCGTTCCGTTTTAGCCATCCTCCAGATTCAGTTGAGATCTGCACATTTCCAAACACCTTGGCCCTGCAAAGGGTTGGAGAGCCCGTCTTATTTTCTTCTTTAAACCGAATGGAATAAATCGAATAAAGAAATGCATTTACCACGAGGGATGGAGGCGGTCACAGCCTCAGCCTATGTGTGAAAAAGAAAAAAGATGACATCCTGAGTGACGTCTGGTGAGGTTGAATTTCCAAACAGAAGCAGGAATAAGATGAGGCCATTTTTCTTTAGAACAGGACAAGTTACCATTGCTAAGAGGGGCAAGGCAATTTTTCCAAACAATTACTCAAAATATTGTTTTTTACAAAAATTAGCACTGCTCACTGTTTTGCACATTAAAAACAGTAGAACTAGAGGCATCTGCCTTGACTTCTAACCTTCATGACTGCAAAGAGGTTCAGACGTTGACATCGTGCATTGCGCTCCAGCAGTGAATCAGCCGTCTGCAGAGGTTAAGACGTGGGGGATCTTTAGTCCATGTTCACACGCTATTTTCTAACTGTGGTTTTGTGGCCTCAGTAACCCACCTACGTGCTGCTCAAGTTCTCAGATTCTTCTAAAAACTGCTTGGGCTGTGCCCCTCACATCTCCTGGAAACATTTTTTTCAAGTATCTTCATTATACTAACCTAATTAACCAAAGAAAATTTCACATACATATCACAGTACTTACCATATAACTTCAAAATGAATAATTCTGGTAATAAAAGAACAACATGGCGGGGGGGGGGAGGCTGGGGAAAAGCCTGGAAATTTATGTTATAAGTAGAACTCCCCCAAATGGGACCATTTTGTCCTTTGATTCTTGGTTGAAAAATAAAAGCCCCCATCTTTGGGGTCAGCAACCTGCCGCTGTGAACAGGCGTAGATTCCTCCTTCAAATGTTGCATGATCATCTCCTCAGCCCAGCCTCCCACCCCACGTCCTCAAAATCCACCATTCTTGATGTGTCTTCATACCTTCCAAATATGGAGATGGAGCCGAGGAGAACATACACATCTTTAACACACATCATCTCCTGAAAACATGAAGTTACAGCCTTGGAGGAGAATCTAAGATTATGTCCCAAAAGGGCATCCTTAAACACGATGAGGGTATTGCTGATTTTTCAAAACTAACTAAATGCCCATCACAATCAAATTTCCATCACTGGAAATTTCTTTTTTGCCTCATTCTCAGGCTAAGCATAATAGCTGATTTCTCCATTATTAAAATAAATAAACAGTGTGTTAGAACTGTAATTAAAAAGCAGCCCATGAGTTTTAAAGTATTATTATTATTATTATTATTATTATTATTATTATTATTATTATTATTTCAACAACCAGCCCCTTCAAAAGATGGATGGCCAGGGAAGGACAAAAGGTGTTTTGAAAAAACACCTAAATTATTCATTTTACAACTCACTCTGACCTTAGCTCATGAAATTTATGCTCTCCACTTAGAGCTTAATAGTGATTTTCAAGTTTTTAAAACAATCGATTCAGTTATTCACATTCAGTTAATGATATACTTTGTTATATGTGTAAATCCCTTTTTATTCATTTGTACATTACCCTTTCATTCTTTCCATTCTTTTTCCTTTCCTGTTTCTATATTTTCTCTAAAATGTCCAACACAATATATCAATGTCCAATCACATATATTTTTGAAAAAAATGAAGAGGTGCCTAAAACAGGCCAGGGTTGGTTCTTGATGGACCATAGGTAGTGGTTCTATGGGGTACCACCGATAAGACCATGTTTGTGTCCCCATCGAGGTACAAGTTGGAAAGCAGGGAGGGAAGAACCCTCATTTGTCTCTTCTAAGAGATGACAAGGAAAGATCAACATTCATTTCTCTCTCTACTCTTATGGACAAGAATGTCCACAGTCCAACCTAAGGTTTGGGAGAAGATAATCTTTTCCACTGCTTCATTGGTTGGCACCCCAAAACAGACTAATTTTCTTCTAACTTTTCTTCTGTTGCCTCCAAGTTGAATCGTGAAACCAGCATGAGAAGAAAATCCAGATGTAACCTCAAGGAGGGTAGAACTAAAGTGGAATTTAGAATATGAGGAGCTACTACTGGAAATCATAACAACAACAGGTTGAATGAAGAACATATCCCAAGTTTGAAAAAAAGCTTTAATATAAAAGAAAAACAGAAACTAGAAAACATGCATTTTTAAAATTCTATAGAATTTCCTTCGAGACTGATCGGGCCAAGATGGTGTTTTCAAGCTGAGTTTTCTTTACGTGCATTTTGATCAAGCCAGTGATGGTTTCATTCCCAAACATTTCGGCAAGCTGCAAAGGTGTCACGCCTCCCATAGCACTGTTTACATCAGCAGCAGCATTCAGCAATAAATAGCAAATTCCCAGATGCCCTGAAGTCATTAAAAAAAGAAAGCAATCTTATGAAGTGACACACTCTCTCTCTGTCCATTTATTCCAAGACTGCCATAAGATCTAGTTTTACTTCTCTTTTAACGACTTATGTATTATTAGATTTATATCCCACTTTTCACACTGGAATTATTTTCCCCTCAAACAGCAACCCTGTGTGGCAGGTTGGGCTGAAGGAGAGGGACTAATTCAATGTCATCCAGTGTGCTTCAGCAATTGAGGGGGGCCTAGAATCTGGGTCTCCCCACCTAGTCCAGCATCTTAACCACACTACCACACTAGCTCTTGGGCTGAGATATGGAGACTGGCCCAAAGTCCCCCAGGGAGCTTTCATGGCTGAAGAGGGACTTGAACATCAGTCTCCCCACTCCTAGTCCAGCATCTTCATCATGGCACCATGTTGACTTCTGGGTTCCGAGAGAAGAATTGGTCCAAAATCCTCCAGGGAGCTTCTGTGGCCAAGATGGGACTAGAATATGAGTCTCCCTGCTCCTAGTCCAACACCTTCACTGCTACCCTACACTGACTCTTTTTTACTAATATTTCTTCTGTGATCTTGCTCCAAAGGGCAGGATCCAACGATGGTAGTGGAGGTAGAGCCAGGTTCAAAATGGTAGCTTAGTTACCCTATGAGACTTGCACTGGAATAACAGAAGCACACCTCCGTCTATATTGCTGCAGATTAAGAATTGGAACACAGACCTCGAAAGCCAGCCTGCAAAGGAACACAAAAGCCTGAAGAACTGTATTTCTTCCCTATTTTACAGAGAAGAGGCAAAGGCCCTTTGTGAAGGATTCCAGATTCCACCTGCTTTCAGATCATCGTGGTTTGCTATGTTTCAACATGACCATTTGTAACACGACCCTTTCGTTTGGATCTTCCATACCATTGGACTCATTAGTGACTCAGGTACAGCAAAATTTCAGAACAATATCCTAACTAGTTTAGCAGCCAATGTGTAGATTAGAATCTACCAAAGGCAGTATGTCACATGTACCATTCAGACTTAAAAACCTGTCAGTGGGGCGCATTGGAATTATGATGTATCGTTCAGCACATATTTAGAAATATTCATGCAGTTAGCAACAGTTCCTTGTGACTTTCCTTGCTCACTTATGACATTATTGGTTCAATGATAGGACCTGAAGATCAGGGCAGAGAGACTTTCATTGTGGGAACTATGGGTGGGTAGAATATACACCATGAAGAACCGTTCTGCATGTCAGCAAAGGCAAGGATCCGGGGTGTATTTAACTCAGTTACAGCAGTGATGAATGCACAGTTGGAAGACCTGAAAGACCAGGTTACGACAGAACGTCCTGGAGAAAATCTATCTATGTGGTCACTAGGAGGCTACACCAATGTTTCTCAGCCTTGGCAACTTGAAGATGTGCGGACTTCAACTCCCAGAATTCTGGGAGTTGAAGTCCGCACATCTTCAGGTTGCCAAGGTTGAGAAACACTGATCTACACCAATGTGATGGCTCATAATCAATCAATCAATCAAATTTCATTTCTCCCTGTTCCCTTGGAAGGCAGATCATGGAATAGATAGAAACTCTCCTTGTTAATTCAGAAATCAATACACAGCAGCATGGGTAGAAAAAAATATCATTTGTGTGACTCCCCACAAAAAGACCCCTTCCAAAGGCATGAGCCAGAATTTTGCTTTTAGTTTGGGTTTTGTTTTTTGTTTTTGCATGGGGGGATTTTAAGAGACAAAAATGGCAGAGGCACAGAAAAATTCCCACCTACCCCACAACTGAGACCCTTGAGTCTTGGTTTGGCCCATTTGGGGGCAAGGCTTTCAACATGGCCCCCTCCAAGCCCAGCGCAGCCCTCACACTCATAAATCTTGCCTTTGTGTAGACAAGCATGTAACACCTTAAACAAAATTCTACATATAGCTGTCCCTATAATATAATATAATATAATATAATATAATATAATATAATATAATATAATATAATATAA